GGGGGGGGGGGGGTTGTGGTGATAGCGTATGCTATCGTGGAAGAGGGGATAAAGAAAGAGAGGGTTAGGGGGGGGCTGCTATGCACAGGGATGTATGACAAGTGGCTAAGTGCATGGACGTTAAAAATTGTGCAATTCACTTGGATGGATACAGACCCTACGCTGCCCCCTGAAGGTAGTCTTGGGGTTCCATGACCATGTTGGGTTCCCTTTTAGATCCATCATCATTATGAATTATCATATTTTGCTTGCACAAAATATTTAGTTGCCGTCATGTGCTTTGCGGCCAGCGCGCTTAATAGGTTGTAATCCCATACAGGAACAATTTGATGTGTTTTCTAGATATGGTGCTGATGTAAATAGCATGTCTGATACAGGTTCTACTCCAGGTATATATTTCACTTTCTCGGAGTTTCACCTTAGAAAAGCTGAATTAAAAAATATTGTCATAAGATATAATAGACGTATTGAAATATTTTAAATAATTAAAAAGAAAATCAAACTACTTAGTTTTCAAATTATAAATATTAAGTATTTTATTAGAATATGTGAAATATGTGTGTAAGTCACCGTTTATTAGGTTAGACTATAATATGTGAAATATGTGTGTAAGTCACCGTTTATTAGGTTAGACTATAATATGTGAAATGTGTGTGTAAGTCACCGTTTCGTATTTCCTCAAAAGTACGTCCTAAAGGTCTTTTAGAAGTGAATCCGTTTTGACACATTTATTGTTTAGTTCGGTCAGCGTGTTTCATAACCCACCTGGATACATTTATTGTTTAGTTCGGTCAGCGTGTTTCATGACCCACCTGAATATATTTATTGTTAAGTTCGGTCAGTATGTTTCATGACCCACCTGGATATATTTATTGTTTAGTTCGGTCATCGTGTTTCATGACCCACCTGGATACATTTATTGTTTAGTTCGGTCAGCGTGTTTCATGACCCACCTGGATACATTTATTGTTTAGTTCGGTCAGCGTGTTTTTTGACCCACCTGGATATATTAATTGTTTAGTTCGGTCGGCGTGTTTCATTACCCACTTGGATACATTTATTGTTTAGTTCGGTCAGCATGTTTCATGACCCACCTGGATATATTTATTGTTCAGTTTGGTCAGCGTGTTTCATGACCCAACTGGATATATTTATTGTTTAGTTCGGTCAGCGTGTTTCATGACCCACCTGGATATAGTTCGTCTACTTGTTCTTCACAAAGCGGATATTCAGAAGCCTAATTTCAACGGTGGTACCTGTCTCATCAATAGGTAAGAATTCGGAAGTCGAGGAAATATAACTGCTTATTTAAACTATATGTTGTGTGGACAAAAGTGATAGTAATAAGCTGAAACCAGTTTCAAGGGTCTGGAAACCAGATGCTAGTGTCTGGAAACCAGATGCTAGTGTCTGGAAACCAGCTTCAAGAGTCTGGAAACCAGACGAGTGTCTGGAAACCAGCTTCTAGGGTCTGGAAACCAGATGATTGTCTGGAAACCAGCTTCAAAAGTCTGGAAATCAGACGAGTGTCTGGAAACCAGATTCAAGGGCCTGGAAACTAGGTGCTAGTGTCTGGAAACCAGATTCAAGGGCTTGGAAACCAGATGCTAGTGTCTGGAAATCAGATTCAAGGGTCTGGAAACCAGATGCTAGCGTCTGGAAACCAGATTCAAGAGTTTGGAAACCAGACGAGTGTCTGAAAACCAGATTCAATGGTCTGGAAACCAGATGCTAGTGTCTGGAAATCAGATTCAAGGGTCTGGAAACCAGATGCTAGTGTCTGGAAACCAGATTCAAGGGTCTGGAAACCAGATTCAAGGGTTTGGAAACCAGATGCTAGTGTCTGGAAAGCGGATTCATGTGTTTGAAATCTAGATACTGGAAACAAATTCAAGGGTCAGGAAACCAGATTTATGGGTCTAAAATCCAAAAAGGGCACTGGAAATCAGATTTCAGTGTCCGGAAACCAGATTTTTGGGCCTGAAATTCAGATTTAGGTTTTTTTTAATTTGATATCTGGTGCTTGAATACCAGAATCAGATTGATGTGTCTGGAAATAAGATGCAATGGTCTTATAGAAACCAGATTCAAGGGTCTGGAGTTTTAGTTCTCAAATTCGAAAAACTTGACTCATGGTGTTTTTAATTACCAGAATTATAGTTCTAGGAATCTATAGAATTTGCAATAACAACAATCTCTATAATGTCTTTTTATTTAAGATATTATTGATTGATTTATTGATAAAATATTTAGCGTGCAAAGTGTCGAGCTCTGTGAGTTCCTACTTCAACATGGAGCTAACGTTAATGCACAGGTCAGGAAAATACATTTAGCTCCTAGATACATTGGGACCCATACAACTCTGGAATAGGAAGACGACAATCAAGCTAAATTTTGTGTATTTTGTATAGTTTACATGTTATTAAGTGGTAGGTATGTGTATATTGCATGATTGTTGTGTTCAATTGGACTATTTAAGACTATAGCTTTTGTCCAAAAGTCGTATTTCTATTCCAAAGTTTGACGGGACTTGCTGCGGGACAATAAACAGGTTAAAAACTGGAAATAAATGTATTAATTTCTACATTGATCCTTAAAACTTTAAATTTTTCTGTTTTAATTTTTGAGTTCTGGCGTAGCGAGGAATAAATGAAAATTACTTTTTTCTTTTAATTAATTTTTTCTGAAGATTAATCTTTTTCCAGACGTTCTTATTCTTAATAAGTTAATAAAGTCAAATAGTTGGAAATTTATTTCTGAGATTAGTGTAATATTCAAAATCATATCCAAGATGCTTAAATTAAATATATCCAAGTAAATAATTCCTTTAAAAGATATCCAATAAATAAAGATATCAAATATAAATAGTATAATACTTATTTTTAAAGATATCCACTTTAAATACTTCTTAAAAAACAAACAAAAAACTGCACCTTAGTGATAATCCAATGTGAAACTGCCCTCCATTTCGCTTTACAAAAACATTTATTGTTAATGGATTGGATATACAATATAATTGTTAAATAACATCTAATTTAAATGTTTAGGATATCCAATGTAAAACTGCTCTCCACTACGCTATTCAAGAACACAGATTTGAAACTACTAGACTTCTTCTCTCCTTCGGGGCCGATCTTGTTTTTTTTTTTGCATGGCAACGGTACTTGTTACGTCATTACATTACAAATTACATTATAACATCTGATCTGTAAAGAAAATCACTCAAAGGAAAAGTATCTCATACAATAAACCCAAGCTTACGAATCTGTTATATTTTTTAATCAATCCCATTGAACTGACTTGAATAGCTTCCCTTTGAAATATAGTTTTCTAAAGATATTAATTAGTTACTAAAAAAGAAAGGATTTTTATTAATCAATTCTAGTCTGGAAGACATATTGAATCTAACAGGGAGCGTTCGTGAAAAATGAAAGAGGGTTCGAAAAATAATCGATGGTGATTGCTACTAATCTTAATTATATCTGTTCTATCTATAATGAGAAAATTTTTAAAGACGACTCATACTGAAGAACGTAGTGTACATAAATTCAGAAATTTGCAATATTCGACTCGGATCTTAAAAAATCCATTTAATTCCAAACAAATCATTCAGATGTTACAACCTATAAACATTGATTTTTTTCGACGCATTCGTATAAAGTTGATATTTCATAATATTTTTGAAATAATTTTGTATAAAGAAAATAACATGTATAAAGTATTTTATTATGTTGATACTTACTCCCAAAAAATTTCTTTATTTTTCCCAAATTTCCTTTTTTCCCAAATATGGATATAATATTATATGCTATCATAAGTGAGAAATATGATTTTTTATAAAAAGTTATGCAAGCTCTAATAAAGTTTTATTGAAGAGTTTTTGTGGTGTTTGTTGTAAAAAGATATATTTATCCAACGTGAAGGGTTTCTCCACTTACCTTCCCTTCTGGGGATTAACAGAGGATAGAATTTAATTTCAATCTCGTAGATAAATGGTCAAAAAAGCTAAAATTGCATGCGATAAGATTTAGTCCACAACACATGCAAAGAAAATAATGATATGTGAATTATGAAAAAATCAGCCATAATTATTAACTCTCCACACACAAATTTAAAGAAATAAAAACTAAATTCCTAAAAATTGGCAAATATTAAAAAAAAAAATTGTCAAGCTTTTGGAGATAATGTCAAACACAATTTGTTTGACAACCCTTTTTTCTGTGTTAAGATTTATAATGAAGTAAATTTAATAAAATAAGAAATAACTTTATTGTTTGCTCTCATTGATTTACAAAATCATAAAGTTGTATTACTTGTCTGCAAGATGTTATTGATCTAAATGTTTCATGAGTAAGTTATTAAGAGGATTAAGGTGTAGATACCAGATTATGGATGCCGGGGTTTCTTTTTTTAGAAATATCCCCCCCCCGTTTTTTGGTAAACAGATTCTATAGCTTTTGGAAGAAAAGACAAATTGATATTTTTTGTTTTTAATTTAGAAAAATTGAATTTATCCATGTACTCAATTATTTATCCCGTTCTTTCATTAATTTAAACACTAAGCTTTTTTTGAAATAATTTTAGTTTTTAAATGTTACTAAAATGGATTTTCCAATTTTTTTTTTCAAAAGCTTTTTTTAAGTAAAGATTAAAAATCTTTTTTTGAGACCGATTTGTTCAGTCGTTAAGACGTTTTTTTAATTTTTATTTTGATGATATTTATCCCTGAAGAGTTAATTCCTGTTCAAAAGAAGTAAACAGCAAGTAATCCCGTTGTTTTCAACAGAATTCAGTTTTTTTTTAATTAGTCAGGATATTAGATAATAGAAATTGATGACGCATTAAACTTAAAGGGACAAAAGAGAACATTTTATTTGGACCTCTATTTAAAAGAAAAATACTGGCAAGTCCGATATTCAGCGCTAAGTTCTTAACCTGTATAGTTTCTTTATCTGAGTAACAATGAGGACGTTATTTTCGTTGTCAAATTCTCACAATTTCACCGCAGCGTGAATTTAAAAGTCACTAAAGAAGCCACCTCAAGCCAATTTTCAGAGTGAAAAATCAAGATATCTCATTTATTTTTGATAAGACAAAGATTGAGCCCAGTTTGTAGATGGAGAATCACTAGAAAGTTACGTCTACACAGTTCCTTAAGATTGTTTTTACATTGTGAATTATATATATCACTGGTAGGACTCAGACACGTTTTTACCATTAATAAAGATAGAAAAATTAAAATGCTTGATTGAATAAATTGATAAGACATTTTCTGGAGACATTTTCCATAGACATTATCAAGCGATATACCAGAAAGGAAAATTAAAATGTCTGTAAAAAGTTTGCAAAATTTATAACTAGATTGATAGATAGATAAATAAATAGATAGATTGATTGCTTGAATGATTAACTGATCGAATTGTTGTTTAGAACTGTTCACACTGTGACCCCTCTGTGGTGTGCTGCCGTGGCAGGAAAATACAGCGTTGTTGATGTGCTTGTGAGGTAGGAAAAAGTTTGGTGTTGTAGGNATCAAAAAATCAATTAATCAATTAGTCAATTATTACAATATAACACATTATTAAGGCTTCGCGGACTGCGTCGCCCATAGAAAAGATTTAAATAATAAAATACAAAATGTTCCAGACATTTTCACCTCAGATAAAGGTCGGAAGTCAAGGGGAGGATTTTTTTCAAAGCTTTTGGGAGAAAAAAAATTAAATGAAACTTCTACCTTAAAAGCTAATTTTCACCTATTGTTAAAACTTATTACGCATGACTTTGTGTTAATGGTTTTTAAAAGTTAAATATTCACTGTATAAAAAAATTAGAATATGACATTAATTAAAAAATTACTTTTGATCTATGTAAATATTTACTTAAATACTAAAACCTGTTTCTTGTAGCGGTCCCTACAATACTGGAGAGCAGCTTGTGAGGTGAGAGAACGAGCTGGTGTATCTAAACAGATACAGCTGCCTAGGAAACAGTACAGGTAAACACAACAAATCCTTTTTTTCGGGGATTTTCCATAGTTTATTCCTTTCATGCTCCATCTTATTTATGTTAGATGGTCTCGTGATTTTTTTAAGAAAAGTGAAAAAGTAAGGTCCAAGGAAAATGTTAGGCCACCTTGCTTTTATACGCTTAAAATGGTCACTGTTGTTAAACAATGTTTAACAATTTTCTTTAAATTGTAAATTTTTCAACAGTATTTACGCCGATAATTTCCGAAAGAAAATCTTAATTTGAAATATATTTTCCAGGTCGACAACTCTGAGCTGGGATAAAAGATTATTTTTCTAAACAGGGTCTATTTTAATTTAATTCAATTTGAAATATTTAACAACAAAGCAATATTCAATTTTGTTTAAAGATTTGTAAAAAAAAATACAGAATTTACAGAAAAGAAAAAGTACAAATCAATATTTTAAATTAAGATCTTGTTTTTTAATCAAAAAATTCCAGGGAAAAGAATGATATTTTTTTATCTAAATTCGGAGGAAATTATAAATAGGGGGGGGGGATGGTCGTTGGTTTCATCTCTCTCAAGAAACCAAAAACAGAATATTGAATTTTAAATGTTGAAAACATGATTATTCCTTTTGTTCTGGGATCAGACAAAGCTTTAAAGGGCACTGACATGAGACAGTCCCATTAAACTGTGTCTGGTATAATGAGTGAACTTGCTCCAGTATATAAATCTGGTATTGGACAATTTTGCTCCAATATTATTCAGTGCTTAGAGTTCGGGTCCGTTGGATCCGCAGTATTTTGGCTTCCCGGATCCGGAACCGCAAAAAATATGCAAATCCTCGGATCTAAGGGGCAATTTATAAACCAAAAAGTAAAAAACTTTTATTTTGCTCTCTAAATCTGCAACTGTTATAAAAGCGATATTATTAAAAATTTCCTAATCTAAAATATATCAAGTTTTACCTGAAAAATAAGCAGAAAAATAATTAAATAAGTAAATAAATCTTTAAGAAATATCCAGAACCTGAATCCATTTTTTTCAGGGGGGATTCATCAAAATAATATGGATCCTATTCCTAAGCACTGGTATTGAACTATATCTGGTACTAGATGCATTTACTCCAGTATTAACCTATATATGGTGTTTAGGCAGACCAGTGAGTTCCTGGACCGAAGAGACCTGGAGAACCTTGCTATGGACCTAGACGTTATGCGGATACAGTCCCTTATCATCTGCGAGAGAATTCTAGGTTAAACATACTTTTTAAAGGGAAAGATGGTGTAATTATAAAAATATAAAATGTTAACCTGGAATCAACAAAATGTAAAAAATCGCCTTAAATTATATAAAGTAGATAATCTTAGCTTCTTTAAAGTATTTTGTACATTGCATTTATCTAAATTTTGATCAAGATTTCATTTCACATTTAAACTTGAACGCTCTCCTTTTGTAATTTTGATTAATTTGTTGTGTGAAGTATTTTGAATAATATTTAGAGTTGCTTTACCATATCAAATATATATATTTATGTACAGGTGTACAGCACAAGGATATGATTTATAAACTGATGTACCGTGGTGCGGCGTACGCAGATAGTTTACAGTATCAACACTGTATAGATCTTTGGAAGTAAGTACTTCATTCTTAAATGTACTGTGTAGGGCACACTGTACACTTTAGTGTCTATAGTGTACTATAGTGTACAGAGACCAAGATAATTTCAAAATGTATGGCCAATTTTTTTTATTATTTATCACATTTTATCAAATCATACTATTTTTTACAGATTTTTGTTTGCAAACTTTTCTTTTAATATTAAACAGATATTTATTTTGGTTAATTGAGTTTATTTATGATGGTCAACTGATCAACTGGTCAATTGACCAACTGACCAACTGAACAACTGATCTACACTGACCAACTGACGCAACAGGTTAACTGATCTGCTGGTTTACTGACTGACAAACTGACCAACTGGTCAACTGATCTGCTGGTTTACTGGTCAACTGAGCAACTGGTAAACTGATCAACTAACAAACTGATTAAGTGATCAGCTGATCAACTGATCAACTGATCAACTGATCAACTGATCAACTGATCAACTGATCAACTGATCAACTGATCAACTGATCAACTGACCAACTGACCAACTGATTACTGGATCAACGGATCAACTGACCAACAGATCAACTGATTAACTGATATACACTGGCCAACTGACAAGCTGACCAACTGGTTAACTGATCTGTTGGTTTACTGGTCAACTGACCAACTGAGCAACGGATCAACTAACCATCTGACCAACTGGTCAACTGATAAACTGAACTACTGGTTTTATCTACTAATATCTGATATACTGATCTAGTGAGCAATTCATTTAAGTCAGAAACTGAAACAGCATCTGTTAAATTGATTGATACAATAATGGATTGGTAAATTAAACGATTAATTGATAGATTGATTTATCTATTTATTGATTTGATTGGTTGATTGATTTGATTGATTGGTTGATTGAACGATTGATTGATTAATACGTATATTTTCTCCAGGTACGCTTTGGAGCTGAGGATTGCTAAGGATACTATTCTATACTGTGATACTTGTTTTACAGCGCAGGTTTGTTATTACACCTATCTAACATTAAGCTTGTGGAAGTTTTTGATGTTATTTAACCAGCAACTATTTTTTCTTCGTGCCCTCAGAAAAAAAAATGATCAGATTTCTGATAAAAAATGGCCCCGATCGATTAAGTTACAAACAAAATTCTAATAGCAAACCCGACAATTTATTTATTCTATATGTTTAGAAGATTAGATTTTATTTTACAACTAGTCATTAAATTCTATAAAAATTCCTGGCTTCCGTGACGCCAATAAATTATTAATATTAACATTGTAATCTCTTTGTTCATTCTAAACATTAACGTGGTATTAAAATCACAACGAGAACCCTATCATCATGAGCGTATACAAGAAATTTTTCCAGGGGAAGCTTTTTTCTTTTTTACGGAGGTCTCAGCACTTTTTGGTGCCTGAATACCCCCTTGAAATCTTAGAGTTCACTGATCCTGGGGGGCTGATACCACAACCCCCCCCCCCCCATGTAAACGCCTTTGCCCATTATCCTTTGTTGCAGAAATAATTTTTCTAATTTGGACCGTTAATTTTTGTAGCCTGGACACTGGACACTACCATCAAGAAAAAGACAGATTTAACAGATTTAAAAATATTTTATTAGCTACAAAATTTAAATGTTAATTGGAAAAAGTCGTCCTTCAATTCCTTGAATTTTGTTCATTGCTGGGTATTTTAGACAAATTAGGCTTCACTGAAGATTTTATTTTTATGAATTTGAGAAGAATATAAGACTTCTTCAAAAATATTATTTCGTAGCAAGCTCTTATTAAAAATAATAAATACATCGTTCTGCTTACAAAAGGGGGGGGGGTGGTATTATTAAATAAGTAAACAATCTTTTTGAATAGGCGCTTGTGAAACTATTCCTTGACCTGGAGGAGAAGAATGCAGCTGGTGTACTCGCTAGCCCGGTCAGGTAAACTTTTGCAGATCAATAACATGAGATTTTGGCATCTTTTTTCAGGGTTTTAAACAATTTTGTTTTTTGCTTTTCTTAGTTTATAAAAGTTTTACTTTTTCTTCTTAGACAAACTACTATATTTTTTAACCACATTTTTAAGGCATTTTATTTTTAAAAATTTAAGAATTTTTTTTCTGTCAAAACACTTATTTTCTAACAGATCTTTTCTAAAATGCAAAATGTTGTCTGTGACAGAAGATATAGACTTTTTTCAAATCGTACGCTAACGAACGATTTGTTTCCATTCATCTAAACTGTGTGTTCTATCAAAGCCAATATTTTACTAAATGAAAAAAAAGCCTCAAAGTGGAAGGGTTGTAATTTTTAAAATGAGAACCAAAAAATGATAAATAAGTTTTTAAAAAATGATTTAAGAGGTTAAAATGGGACGCGCATGTTTTTCAAAATGTTAAAGAAATGCTTTAAGTGAGAGCGAATAAAAAGTATACTGATAAGCTAAAAATAATAATTTTAGGGGTGAGGATGTGATACATACTATTGAACTGTTGATTGCTGATATGCCCAACTGTAGTGCTCTTCTTCAAATCAGTCCTGTCTTTAAAACCCATCAGGGTAGTTGGGATAAGGTAAGTAAAATGATGGTCCTATTTACCAAATTACGTAACTTTTGGTAGGATTATGTAATTATTATGCAATTATTATGACCCACGAAGTCCACCTTGTAGTGCACCTACCGAGGTTCCAGTTCTCTGTATAATCACTCACCTAGTACACCTTTTTCTAGGTTTAATATCTAATATATTCTGGTTTACGTTCTCTGTATAATCACTCACCTAGTACACCTAGTAGTGCAGCTACCTAGGGTTAATATCTAATATATTTTGGTTTAGGTTCTCTGTATAATCACTCACCTAGTACACCTTTTTCTAGGTTTAATATTTAATATATTCTGGTTTACGTTCTCTGTATAATCACTCACCTAGTACACCTAGTAGTGCAGCTACCTAGGGTTAATATCTAATATATTTTGGTTTATGTTCTCTGTATAATCACTCACCTAGTACATCTTTTTCTAGGTTTAATATCTAATATATTCTGGTTTAGATTCTCTGTATAATCACCAACCTCTAATAGTTCTCCTAAAATCTATTTAATTGAAATCTTTTATCATTATTAAAGTTAGGTGGAAAAAATAATCATAACAGCCAAGAGCTTTTATCCACCTAATTGCTTTATACTTGTACTATTAATATAATTATCAATTTGTAATTATAAACTCTTTCTGTACACAGATACATGTATTTTAGCAATAAACTTTATCTTATTTTATCTTAAGCTAGTACACCTAGTAGTGCAGCTACCTAATGTTAATCTATTTAATAAAACAAGACATTCGTGTATATCTAAATACATGTCGCGTATAGCCGGCCAAACGGCTGGACCGGTTGGGCTGAATTTTTTTGTGGACACTTAAAAAAATTCGAATTTTTTTATCTAATATATTCTGGTTTAGATTTTCTGTATAATCACCAACCTAGAACACCTAGTAGTTCAGCTCCCTAGGGTTAATATCTAATATATTCTGGTTTAGGTTCTCTGCATAATCACTCACCTAGAACACCTAGTAGTTCAGCTCCCTAGGGTTAATATCTAATATATTCAGGTTTAGGTTCTCTGTATAATCACTCACCTAATACACCTAGTAGTTCAGCTACCGAGGTTTAATATCTAATATATTCTGGTTTAGGTTCTCCGTATAATCACTCACCTAATACACCTAGTAGTGCAGCTACCTAGAGTTCCAACCCTGGAACTACAACTGAGGAAGAAAATGCATAGAGTTCTACTCAATATGGATCCTAGAACCAGTCAGGTAATAGATCTTCTATATCATCTACCAGATCTTTGATTTTTTAAATAAAAAATTTGTTCTAGCTTTTTGTGCGATTTTTACTAAAAATTAAACAAAAAATTCTAATATTAAAATGTTATCACTCTAATAAAAATAATGAATTCATTTAATGAACTTTTTATGTTCTGAATGTTAAAAAAACTTTGATAAAAACTTGGCATTTACAGTGTTTCCCGTTCCCAACTTTACTTTGTATCTAGTCCAAAGTCTTGATAGCTTATATACTAACATACGTGTTTTAATATTTAGGGTGACACCCTGCTACATCTAGCGGTTTCTAAAAACAACTCCTTGAAAACTCAGAACATTTTTGATGAGGGTGGAAATCAGCTGGTAACTTAGATTAAAAATATAGAAATGAAAAAAGAATTTTAAGTTTTTAAGATCTTCAACATGTTATATACTATATTCTAAACTTTTTTAAGATCTCAACGCAATTATTTCATAAAAAATGTTTCTCTCAATTATTTATTTATCACAATTATGAATCTATTTTGTGTCTTCAGGGAAGTTTGTTTCCTTCTGTTGAAGTCACCAAGTTCCTAGTAGACTGTGGGGCTAGGTAATATAACTTTTTGTTAGTTTTTCACAAAAAGTTTCATCATCATCATTATCATTACTGTAGTCATCATTTTCATCAGTGTTTCGGATCCGGATCCGGATCCGGATCCGGTCGGATCCGTATCATTTGGTCGGATCCGGATCCGGATCCGTATCAGGATGCGGATCCGATATGGATCCGGGTAGCATCAAAAATTAACCAAAACCATGGAATAAATAAATCAAAATGGTTCGTAAATGTATTATTTACATTTTACATGACGAAAATTTTTCAAAATTATCTTTAATAATTTAATGTTTACATTTATATAATAGTAAATTAATGACGACATTTTTAAAATAATAAATATAGTTTATAAATTATAACCTTGCATAACATTTAATAGGGAAAATCCGATTCACAGAATCAAAAGTTACCTCGGATCCGGATCCGTATCAGGAGCCGGATGCGGATCCGCGGATCCGGATCCGGATCCAAATCAAAATGATATGGATCCGAAACACTGATTTTCATCATCGTTATTTTCATTAGGTTATCATTATCATTGACATCAGTTTCTGTAAATTTTCCACATTGGCAGTTAGTAAGGAACTTTTTTTGGATGAATTTATTTAAGAACAATTAAATTACCATACAAAGGAAAAAGGAAAAATTCTAAAGAAATTGTTAAAAAACAAAACACAAAAGACTGACAAAAAATAACTATGGCAGAAAATCAGTATCATCTTTAGCATAATCATTATTGTCGGTTTTTCTATTAATGCCATCCATATTATTATACACAATGTCGTCACTATTATTATCCTCATCGGTCATTTTTTATTATTATTATTATTATCGTAGATTTATTTTGTACACAAAGGTAAAATGATACAAAATGATAAGACAAAAACAAGAATAAAGTCAAGATATATAAATATAGTTTCTAGTCGGAACATAATAAGTTGATCAATGATCATGGTTGCGATCTCATTATCATCAAAATTGTTTAGAACAAAATTATCATCTTTAACTTTGAGTAATTCATAAAGAATGGGTAATTTCCATTCTTGGTCTAAAGGAATCTGATTGTATATCATATTTTGTTTCACCAAAAATTTGTTTCGATTTCTAGATTGTAAAATGTACATTACAATCTTGTGCAATAGATTCAAGATTTTTACATAAAACATTTCTGAAATCAGGTTAACTTAGATCTACTACAAGTCGGATACATAGCTTATGACAATTTGATAAACCGGTCACAAATTGTACAAAACCAGTGCATAAAACTGTTTTAATATGAGGAACATTAGAATTAGGCTCAATGAAATATCTATGGGTTTCTCTCAGGGGGGATGATAGTTCTCTACCTGTGTGCTCAGTTAAGAGTACTGTACACTTACAACTGTTTACTAATATTGATATACTATAGGTTAGGCCAGAATCAACTTATAATAAACAAATATGCAGTACGCTCTCGGTATAGTTTATGGCCTATAAAATTAGTAAAGAATTAGCGAACATCATCACTCCTTGTTGGCTTCTCTTGGTAGATCAAATAAAATGGGAATAGCATGAATTCCATGAATTCAAGAGTTTTTGAACATCCCTACTATATAAATCCCAAAGATTTGAGCCTTAGAAATCGAAAGTATGTATTTCATATATTATTATCATCGTATCATTATGATTCTAGTATCATTATTATTATTATTATTATTATGATCACATTATTATTATATTCTCCAGGTTGAATGCCTGTAACCAGCAGGGATCAACCCCCCTTCACACAGCTGCTTGTCTACCTAACTTCTCACAGCAGGTAGATAATCAATCAGTAAATCAAGTAATCAATTAATCAAGTTTTCATTGATATTTTGATTAATGTGTATTAGGTTTTAGAGTTGTTCTGGGTCCCAAATTGAACCAAGAATTTTTAATGATTGATTGATTGATTGCGTATTTGTGTGTTAATTTGTTGTGCAAAATGGATTCCCTATTTATAGATCTAGGGGACAATGGCTTATTAATTGACTCTGTATCAGTTTGTAGAGTTGCTACGAAATGGATACCATATTGATCTAAAGAACAATTTGGTTGATTGATTTATTGTGTAAAAGTTTGTTAAGTTGTTGCTACGAAATGGATACCATATTGATCTAAGGAACAATTTGGTTGATTGATTTATTGTGTACAAGTTTGTTAAGTTGTTGCTACGAAATGGATACCATATTGATCTAAAGAACAATTTGGTTGATTGATTTATTGTGTACAAGTTTGTTAAGTTGTTGCTACGAAATGGATACCATTTTGATCTAAGGAACAATTTGGTTGATTGATTTATTGTGTACAAGTTTGTTCAGTTGTTGCTACGAAATGGATATCATATCGATCTAAGGAACAATTTGGTTGATTGATTTATTGTGTACAAGTTTGTTAAGTTGTTAATACGAAATGGATACCATTTTGATCTAAGGAACAATTTTGTTCGATTGATTAATTGTGTACAAGTTTGTTTCTACGATAGGATACCATATTGATCAAGGAACAATGGTTAATTGATTGATCGTGTATCAGGTTGTAGAGTTATTGCTACGAAATGCTAAGGGACAATTATTGGTTGCTCAATTGATTGTTTGGGTGTTTGTTTGTTTGTTTGTGTATCAGGTTTTGAAGCTGTTGCTATAAAATTGATCCCACATATTGATCTAAGGCAAAAATGGTGGATTAATTGATTTTGTATCAGGTTGTAGAGTTGTTGCTACGAAATGGATCGCATATTGATCTAAGGAACAAAGTAGGAATACGTCCTTCAAATCTCCTGGTTACCAATCAAGCCGCTTCTATATCAGTTATCAGGTTTAAATTTTAAACTAAAAGATAATTTCTAGTGACCCTCCATTTTAGAGTTAACGTTTAGCTTTCCTAAGCAAGAGATATTCTTGGTTTTTCAAAATTAAAAAAGAAATTGTCAGAATTAATCTTTTTATTTTAAGTTGAAAAACGACAATATTTATCATTGTTACCCTAAAGAAAGGTTCAAAGGTTCAAATATTACTGATAATAAAATATTGTACTTTTAATTGCAGATACATGAGCTTGAAATGCCTGTGTGCTCAGGTGATTATTAATAATGATCTACCATTCGTCGGTGAAGTTCCCAGAATGCTGGAAACCTTTATCCAGGCTCATTAATGAACACCCAAGCTGCCATTTTGTATTTCTGGCGGGAAAGATGTTGAACAAAAACAATTAATTCGGACTAACGAGAGAACCCTTAAGTGAAGAAAAACATGAATGTCGTCTTCCAAATTTTGATAATTTCTATACCAGGTGGCGGAATATATATATATTCTACATTGGCAATAAATAAAAGCTTTCAGTATGAATGTTACAAAAAAAAACAATTTAAAGGATAAACTTCCATTCCATGCAGAAATTTATATATGTTGTAAATCGGCCTTATAGCTAGGAAAGAAAACAGCTTTGAACATGAACATTAACATCAGATGAACACTTTTTTCTTAGTTAAGTTGGCTATGCATTAATCACAGATATTACATTGGCTATAGCATAGATCTATTCCATTCATTAGCTCTGGCTATGCAAAGATATATATAATATTACATTAGCTGTTGTTAAATTGGCTATGCATAGATCTATTTAATATTACATTGGCTATGCATGGATCTATTTAATATTAAAAGTTGGCTATTGTTAAATTGGCTATGCTTAGATCTGTTTAATAATACATTGGCTATAGTTAAATTGGCTATGCACAGATCTATTTAATATTACATTGGTATTATTAAATTGGCTAGGCATAGATCTATTTAATATTACATTGGCTAATGTTAAATTGGCTATGCATAGATCTATTTAATAATACATTGGCTATTGTTAAATTGCCTATGTACAGATCTATTTCATATTACATTGGCTATTGTTAAATTGGCTATGCATAGATCTATTTAATATTACATTGGCTATTATTAAATTGGCGATGCATTGATCTATTTAATATTACATTGGCTATTGTTAAATTGGCTATGCATTGATCTATTTAATATTACATTGGCTATTGTTAAATTGGCTATGCACAGATCTATTTAATATTACATTGGCTATTGTTAAATTGGCTATGCACAGATCTATTTAATATTACATTGGCTATGCACAGATCTATTTAAAATTACATTGGCTATTATTAAATTGGCTATGCATAGATCTATTTAATATTACATTGGCTATTGTTAAATTGGCTATGCATTGATCTATTTAATATTACATTGGCTATTGTTAAATTGGCTATGCATAGATCTATTTATTATTACATTGGCTATGCATAGATCTATTTAATATTACATCGGCTATTGTTAAATTGGCTATATATAGATCTATTTAATGTTACATTGGCTATGCATAAATCTATCAATAATTACATTGGCTATTGTTAAATTGGCTATGCATAGATCTATTTAATATTACATTGGCTATTATTAAATTGGCTATGCACAGATCTATTTAATATTACATTGGGTATTTCTTAATTGGCTATGCAAACATCTATTTAATATTACATTGGCTATTGTTAAATTGGCTATGCACAGATCTATTTAATATTACATTGGCTATTTTTTTAATGGCTATGCAAACATCTATTTAATATTACATTGGTTATTGTTAAATTGGCTATGCACAGACCTATTTAATATTAAATTGGCTATTGTTAAATTGGATATGCACAGATCTATATCATATTACATTGGCTATTGTTAAATTGGCTATGCATAGATCTATTATATATTACATTGGCTATTGTTAAATTGGCTATGCACAGATCTATTTAATATTACATTGGCTATTGTTAAATTGGCTATGCATTGATCTATTTAATATTACATCAGCTTTTGTTAAATTGGCTGTGCATAGATCTATTAATATTACATTGGCTATTATTTAATTGGCTATGCTTAGATCTTTTTAATATTACATTGGCTATTGTTGAAGTGGCTATGCACAGGACTAATTAATATTACATGGGCTATTGTTAAATTGGCTATGCACAGATCTATTTAATATTACATTGGCTATTGTTAAATTGGCTATGAATAGATCTATTTAATATTACATTGGCTATGTTAAATTGGCTATGCATGGATCTATTTAATATTACAACAGCTATTGTTAAATTGGCTATGCGTAGATCTATTAAATATTACATTGGCTATTGTTAATTTGGCTATGCACAGGACTATTTAATATTACATGGGCTATTGTTAAATTGGCTATGCACAGATCTATTTAATATTACATTGGCTATTATTAAATTGGCTAGGCATAGATCTTTTTAATATTACATTGGCTAATGTTAAATTGGCTATGCATAGATCTATTTAATATTACATTGGCTATTGTTAAATTGGATATGCATAGATCTATTTAATATTACATTTGCTATTATTAAATTGGCTATGCATAGATCTATTTAATATTACATTGGCTATTGTTAAATTGGCTATGCACAGATCTATTTAATATTACATTGGCTATTGTTAAATTGGATATGCATAGATCTATTTAATATTACATTTGCTATTATTAAATTGGCTATGCACAGATCTATTTAATATTACATTGGCTATTGTTAAATTGGCTATGCATAGATCTATTAATATTACATTGGCTATTGTTAAATTGTCTATGCTTAGATCTTATTAATATTACATTGGCTATTGGTAAATTGGCTATGCATAGATCTATTAAATATTACAATGGCTTTTTTTAATTCGCTATGCATAGATCTATTTATATTATATTGGCTATGCATAGATCTGTTTAATATTACATTGGCTATTTTTATATTGGGTATTCATATATCTGTTTAATATTACATTGGCTCTAGTTAAATTGGCGATGCACAGATGTATTTAATGTTACATTTAATATAGTATTGGCTATGCACAGATCTATTCAATATGATAATTATAATGTCTTCATCTAGTTAAATTTTCAGAAATGAAAGTTCAAAGGGTTTTCCTTTTTGTTGGCTCTCTTCATGTCGATTTTGTACTATTTTGTCTGTTTCTAAGACTAATTTTATTGGTAGTAGTTAATTGCAGATCAAATGTCAGAAAGCTCTAAAAAGATATTCTTTAATTTCATTTGCATTTAGAATATTTGGTGAAACAAAACTTAGAAAGTATCTATGATATATGATATAAGATTTTTACTGCAGCTGCATTTATTTATTTTGTATTTATAGTTACTATCTGTAATGTTTGTAGCATTTAGACACAAGTTTTGGACATAATTATTGTATCTTATGAAATCTAATAAACTAAACATAATTTATGTTAACTTAAAAATGAGATGATTTTTGTGGAGTTTCTCTGTGTTTCTCTGTTCTTGGAGGTACATGGTTAATCATAAAGAATGAGGCTGTCAAGTTGTATTCAAGCTTTATTCCTTGAATATAAATTTTAAATGGATTATTTAATAATTCAGCAATACAAAAAAAAAAAGTTTATATTTGAAGGGATTCATGAATACAAGGAAACCAGGATTATGTGCAGTCGTCTCTGAAGTCTTAAACTGTATGGGTAACCCTGTAGGGAGGGATTCCTATAGATTAGGATAATACAGGATTCTGGATTAGGGTAATTAAACTGTATGGGTAACCCTGTAAGGGAGGGATTCCTATAGATTAGAATAATACAGGATTCTGGATTAGGGTAATTAAACTGTATGGGTAACCCTGTAGGGAGGGATTCCCATAGATTAGGATAATACAGGATTCTGGATTAGGGTAATTAAACTGTATGGGTAACCCTGTAGGGAGGGATTCCTATAGATTAGGATAATACAGGATTCTGGATTAGGTTAATTAAATGCTTGACTCTATTTTGAATCATAATAATGTTTATAGTCTCATTGTTAGCCCCTTAAAATATTATCTGATCATCACGCGAAGAAATGTCAAATTTTCATCTTATTAAAATTTGTTAGAGAACTGGAACCAAATTTAACTATTGAGCTAGCTTGATTCTTCAAACTGTGTTTTTTAATGATTATTTTCATTCGTTAAAATTTTGATAGAATTAAAATTGTATATATTGGCATGAAATGATTTTTTCGAATTTTCACACCAGAATGTCCAAAACTTGTTTTCGGTGGATATTCCATATCTTTAAATTGAAATAAAACACGAAATTGGCTTCGAATGAAAATTCCACTCAGTATATGCTGGCAGCCTTCCGAAAATTCTTTGGTAAGACGGGCTTTAATTTGAAAATTATGATATTTTGTGTATTTTGAAATAGGTGACATCAAGGAATTAAAGAGCTTTACGAAAAGACATAAAACAATGTGTACTGTAGTTTTTGGGCGGAATGTAAACAAAGGTTAGCATGGGTAGAACAGCAGTTGTTTACATTGCTCGTGGAAACTTTTTTTCTATATACTAAAAAATGGGACTATTTTGTTGATCTTTTAAGGAAATTATCACTACAAGAAAGAAAAATAATATTAAGTTTTCCAAAAACCTTGTTTTCCCAAATACATAAAAACCATGTGTTTACTGTTGAAGGGTATATTATGGCTGCCAAGTTAAACCAACAACTCAATTTGGCATCAGGCCCTCTCATTTACCCCCAGCCAATTGTTTTATTCTAGACTCCTATATATTCATATATATATATATATATATTTATATATGTAAACGCATATATATTAAGAAGATAAACAAACAATAGTTCGATATACAGGGTGTCCGACTGAACATGACAGCTGAAAGACGACTTTTTATGAAATATTTAAGAGTTTTCTCTGGAAGGAAAAATAAACTTGTGGGGCAAACTAAAGGAATATTACTCGAAAGAGGGAAATAAGGCAAATAGGCTAAGGAAACACTCTATTCTTCATGCACACATATTCTTCAACGGAGGTACAGTTTGTCGGAGACGACCTGACAACAGAGTAAATTTAGGGGTATGGTTCACAAAACCATATTTAGTAAGAAAAATATTTGTTTATTCATGCTTAATTTTCATGTTTAAGGACCTTAAGGTCGCGTACTTTAGTTTTTCAGGGGGGAGGGGCCGGGGGCCCTGTGTTTTCAGGGGGAGGGGCCCTGTGTTTTCAGGGGGGAGGGCCCTGTGTTTAGCAAATGCTTCACAAGATATTATATTACAAGATAAAAGACAAAAAGATTTGGTTGGAGTCAAACGCATTTCGTAGGTCTAAACTCTTAACTACAGAGGAATATTCAAATGGAATTTTG